GGTAGTCCCCGAATCATGGAAACGAAATGCGAATGAGAGACGGAGAGAGAAAGAGAGAGAGAGAGAGAGAGAGAGAGAGAGAGAGGAAGGTGGTTGGGGAGGAGAGAACGACTGGTGGCGACGCAAAAACTCACCTGGTGCTGAAGCTGAATCGCCTTTGAGTCACTATTGAGGCTTGTCGCTGCCGCAATCGAGGCATGTGATGTCACTCGAGGCGAGTGATGCATAGTGACGTACCATCGGAGAAGTGCGGCACTCTAGCCGCATAGACCAGCTGACACTTCCGGTGGGTATGGAGACTCTCCTGTTAACTTACGACGATGAATAGACTCGAGGACTAGATTTTTTTTCCCGCACAGGGAACTCGGAGTATAACACTACGATCAACGGGATAACACAGGTCGAGCCCGTGATCCAGTCCCCTCCTCAAGTAGGCAAGCAGTGCAGGAAGCCTACTCGGTCCGTCACGTGTCGACTGCCCAATACCCAATGCCCATATACCGGTATTGAAATCATGGCGATGTACTATAGAGCGACGATCGGCGCTTTACTCAGTCGAAGAAGCTCCTTGCCGGTACTGTGACTCAAGAGTAAAGCCACGTATCGGCATCAGCCTGTCGTATCCAACTACCCCTTCCTCCAGGTTTCTCCAGCTCTTGGCTTAGTTACTGTTTATCTCGCTCGCGGTTCCACTAGTAGTTCATTAATTCACTACTATGATCCATCCCTCCGGTCCTACCTACCTATCCATGCTGTATACGCCGTTGATTCCCTCAGAACTACCCATGGACTGGCGCCCCATGCAATTACTTACATAGTCACAAACCACCGCAGCGGAACGGGCCGTCCATACCTAGTCGCTCGTTTTGCGCCGCTAGATGCAGATCCTCCAGCACGCGGCGCGGGATCTCCGCCTAGGTAGAGAAAGCACGGTACTCTGCTTGGCAGGATTCGGCCTATCGTCCGGAAAAAAAAAGCTCGGATTTTCACCGGTACGCTATATTTGGTTTGTAACTTTGTCACGCGCTGGTGGTTACGCCGTAGCAGTGTGATGGTTGTCTATGTTTCCGCACGCGTGTGTGTGAGTTGAACTACGGAATTGTAAACAGCGAAATGAGACACCAGGAGAAAGGAAATATGAGATGCCAGAAGAACTAGCCGACACGCCCGCCCGCCATCTAGTCGTGATACCACTTTTCAATACTCCATTACCCCATACCAGATACAATTGTTCGTTTTTATAGGAGATAGCTGAATGTCCAATTCAAGTAATGTACATCGACATAAAGAATCATGAAGCGCACACTCGACTAGAAAACAAAAAAAAACGGGTTTAAGTAAACAAGTAAAAAAAATATTGATTATAAAGCAAAAAAAAATAATGTCAGGCCACAAAAAAGCAAAGACATGCGCACTCAGAACGGATTAAAAACTCCCGAGAAAAGAAACCCCGAGAAAATCAAACACCCTTGCGGGCCTGACGTTCCTCGTACTTGTCCGTCAACCTGCGGACCTCGTCTCCATGCTTGACCGTGCCAAGTATGACAGCAGGATTATTGCCCGCGACCTCATTGTACCAGTTGCTCCTCATATCCGCGTATTCCTCCCTCACTAGTATGAGACCAATGGCGGCTCTATTGTCGCGCTCCATTCTGCGCCACTTTCTCTTTGCCTCCTTGGCGTGAAAGGCCTTCCAGAAAGCCGCCTCGGTTAGGTCCAGCTGCTCGTCGGTGGGCCGCTTAAGCATCAACCCCGTTTGCGTGAGCACCACACCCTAGTCCTGACGCATGTCGGCCCAGAACGTCCTGGCCGCCTGCTCGCGGCTTTGAGCAGAATTGTTCTCATCCATGGGAACCGGCCTGGCCAGTATATAGGCGCTCCTGGCCGCACAGATGAGATCGGCGTCGAACCCGAACTTCTGCTCGACGTAGGCACGCACCAGGGATCTCCTCATATCGCCGTGAGGGCCGTGAGGGAGATACACGAGCAGCTCGCTGTCTCGCAACCCCCACATCTCCTTAGCCGAGCCAACGTCAATGATGTCGTACAGCTCGTGCAGCTTCTCATCGCAGGGGCGGTAGCAGCGGATGCTCTCGTCCATCGCTGCGAGCCGCGACGACGGCATGAGGCAGTATCTGCACCGTCGTGCGAGCCACCGGATGAGTACATTCCGGAAACAGTTATCTCGAGCCGTCCTAAATGGTGGCAATATAGGTTTACGGACCCTGGGATCTTCGGCTGCATTGTTGAGGATGCGGAAACAGCGAGTCTCTATTAAGTGGTATAGGAGCCGGCACGAGCTGGAGAGAGCTACGAATGGATGCGAGCGGATGTTTTCGACGTGGACTGGAACGAGGAACTCGAGGATATTATAGAGGATCTCATTAGGGAATGCGAGGAGCGTCAGGGTTGGTTTCGGCGGAGCTCTGGTGAAGCGCAGGGGTGATGTCGAACGTCGTATGGCGTCGGTCGAGAGTGGCACTGGGGCTGGTGCGGTGAAGTCACTGATGGAGGGTAGTGAAGTGGAGGGCCAGGCCGATGTCGAGGGCACTCCGGTAAAGGTCATGGTTGACGTCGAGGTCATTCCGATGAAAGAAATGGCTGACGCCGAGGGCGTTCCGGTTGAGGAGATGCCGGACATCGGAGTGAGTGCGGGGACGAGCTGGCAGAGGTCGGCGGTTCTTGGGATGGTTCGGTCAAGGGTGCGGCTGGGGCCGAGGGAAGTGGGGGGTTCGACATGGCTGATATCGGGGGAAGGCGTGGCTGATCCTAGCATTAGCGAGCAATGGTGACGGGAGATTTAGCGGTGAGAAGCGGCTTGGTGGTGTCGTAATATCGATGGTGTAATATCGATGGTGAGGTCGATGTGAGAGGATCGATGATGGGAAATGAATAAGAAACAGGATAACGGTAGGAGTGGTAGGAGTGGTAGGAGTGGTAGGAGTGGTAGGAGTGGTAGGAGTGGTAGGAGTGGTAGGAGTGGTAGGAGTGGTAGGAGTGGTAGGAGTGCTAGAAGTGGTAGAAGTGGTAGAAGTGGTCGAAGCGCTAGCGTGTGGAGCAGGTTGAATGACCGTTGGCAGGTGGATGAGGTTGAATGGCGTTGAGCGGGAGACTAGAGCGGGCTTCATCATAGATGCTTCAAAGTTTACCTCTTTCTGACTTTCGCAGCACTGATCACACACAACCACCATCTCTTCGGCGGCAACTTCCGACCCATCGAGAATAACACCTATCACATGATGACTGGGAATAATATCGGCACACACACATTTTATGCGGTGGTGGGCATACATGGACGGCGTGGATAACATCCTGCGAGTCGAGTCTGGTGGCGATCGTGGATTTGTCTTTGTGCACCTTCTGCACGCGAGATATGTAATAAGTAAATAGGCATCTAGTGCATAACTGAGATGCGTCGCGACGAGCTCGAAAACATACAAAATCATCGAGGATGGAGTTACTCGCGATACATTTGAAAAACGAAGCAAAAAGATAACAGCTCCTGAAGACCTAGGCATCGTCCTCTATGTCCCCATCCTCTTCCATGTCCTCATCCATGCCGGAACCCACCGCTCTGTCCGCGTCCTCATCCTTGTCCTCTCCCATGTCCTCGTCCTCGTCCATGTCCTCCTCACCACCTCCTTTGCACTTCTCCTGTTCCTCCATTTTTATATCCATACCCCAATCCATCTTTACCGTCATCGGTATTTCAATGTCGATTTCCGTCTTAATCTCTATATTCATCTCCATCTTGATGTTGAGTCTTAAGTCGTTTTTGAGGCTTGCCGCTGCGAGCGTCGAGGCATACAATGTTGTAATACCTCAGTCATCTGCTTAGTTACGGTAGAAGGTACGGACCTTCACCCCTACTTCCTACACTGTCGAGACCCTCCTTCTTGCATAGACACAATACGATACATCTCTTAACCATCATATTCTTCACCATTTCCAACACACAACATCACACGGACTACGAATGACTTTGTGTGATGTGATGCCCGAGATCCACAGAGCAGCGGGTGATTACGACAGCTTGGATTTCGTACATATACTCTATTAGGAGGCACCCTAAGTTTCATTTCTACGGGAGGTCATGTTGCCTATCGCTAACCCGAGCGGCGAGCCGTAGCCGACAAGTACAGGGTCAGTAGAGCTGGCTACAGTGTTCTACATAATCCAGTCCCGTCATGAGGGGCCGAGGGCTGCTCAGGATACGGGGCAATGCACCACCGGATTCTTAGTTCCAATTCTTATCGATTGCCGAATCGAGCCAGGATATATTACAGCTCCATCGGGTATAAATAAAAAACACAATCCCTCCACACAATCATCCAACAAACCTCTCCCAACTACCATCACCACAGAAAAGGCCTAGCCCGTTTTTTTTATTCCCCCTATCCGAAAACTTGCAGACACGGCCATCCTCCTCGGTCACATCTGCCGCTAGTCTCGTCTCTATATAGACGGCGTCGCATAGAAAAGGCCTCTCTCCAAAGTTCGACCGAATTCTAACCCCCGGATTCATCCGAAACTGGCAACACACCATTCCTTTCACGCCCGTGACCGTGGCATCTATTTCGACGTCAGTCATAAGCTGTGTCACGTAACTCGAGTGAAACCGGACTTACCGAGAACCTTTCCGTCGCAGGTAAAGAACGCGATGTGGTTGATGAGATCCACAGCACAGCCGACGACGCTTCCCTTTCCGAACGTAGGCCAGGTATGTTTCGAACGATTCTTCTTGGCCGCGATGGTACCGTTGGCGGAGTAGCAGACGGCGCGGGAGTTCTTGTTGTAATCGGTGCACGCACTGGACACATCCAGACCGACATCCTCAGTGTCCTGAGGGTCCATCTCCTCGATTATGGTTTCGAAATAGAAATAGGGAGCTTGGGGTGGAACTGGGTGGTTGAATCTGACTATACACCAGGGTTCGTCTAGGAATGTGGAATTAGTAAGCCCACTCGTAAAGCGATGGTCAGGAGAACTAACCCGGCGGAAGATATGCGCTGGACCCTTCAAACACCACGCTCGACCGCACACACCCCATATGTTCCCGGATAGGTCGCAACTTCCAGCCTGAAGGCTTCTTCACGAGTGGTTCGATGCCTAATCTTGTGTCGGCAAAGAGGGTGAGATCCATCGGTTTGTTGAGAGAAGTGAGCCGCGTGACAAGATCTACCGTCCAGCCGTGTTGATCGGTGGACTGCGCCGGAACACCGCGTTTTATGAGTTCGTTTACCACCTCGAAATTATCGCGGCCCGCTGCCAAAACCATGAGATCGCGCAGCATTTTGTCCTCCGGAGAAGGCTTGTAGACGTCCAGAAGCACCCCAAGTGTCTTCGGATGTCCGCGAACTGCTGCTAGCTTGATACATTCGGGGAGCGCACCAAAGGAGTTATCTGCATAAGCCATCATCGGCTCGAGAAACTTGTAGTAGCCCATTCGAGCTGCGATGCAGGAGACACCGAGCAGTATATTACGGGCCCCCGGCTCTTTGAAGAGTATCTCTCCATCTTTCTGTAGAGTGTTCTTGGCGCTTTCATGAAAATTAGAAGCCACAGCATAAAAAAGCTCATACGCGGCGGTACGGGCTCTTAGTGACCCCGAACAATCGAAACCCTCTTGCATGTACTGTCCCCCTCCGTGTTGTCTCAGGAGTTCAAAAATCTTGCTTTGGCAAGCCACTCCCGCCGATTCGAACGGAGTGAGTTCGATGGAGCTGCGCATGCTCTGGTCGGCCCCAGCCTCGAGGCAGAGCCTGACTCCTTCAATGCTGGTGATGGGTGTGTCTGCTGCAAATTTCAATGGCCAGTTGCCGTCTGGTGTGACGCGGTTCACATCGGCGCCGTGCTCAATCAGGAATTCCACGAGGCGGAAGTCAGGCGGACCATTGCGCTCGGTACAAACCTTCACTGCCACATTCAGCGCCAGCCAGTGCTGGCCAGCCATGGCGTTAACATCCGCTCCTGCGTCAACGATCAGCCGGGCAACCTCGAGGCTACCAGCTGTACATGCAGCGCTCAGGGCATTCCCATAGCCCGTAGCTGCCGTTTTCTCGCTCGTATTCTGTGCCCGGACATCGCCGACACCTTTCGAAAGAAAGTACTTTGTGACAGAGTAAAGACCCAAGGCGCAAGCATAGACCAGGGGCTTTTTTTCGCGCCGCTGATCTTGGGAAAGATAGGCGTTTATTCCTTCTGTAATGCGGTTGTCGGAATAAAATCTCAGGGCTTCGTAGGCTTCCATCCATGCGTCAAAGTTGCCCTCCATGTCCTCGTCTAGGAAGAAACGTTCGACAATGGAGAGAAATGACATGTCGTCGGCGTCCGTATGCCCCTGCGCGTGCGGACCCCAGTATTTGGATGCGTACTTGTAGAGAGCCCATGTATCACATCGGCGTGCCAGCTCTTCCTTTTCGCTGCAAGGACCGTCGCGAAAGAGATCGAGACAGAGATATGTTAGGCACAGCTTTGCCAACTGGATGTTCGATTCCTGCGTGTCAATGAAGTAGTCCGAGTAGGGTCCTGTCTTCAATTCGCGAGCGACGAAGAACTCCTTGACCGAAAAGTGACCCAATGTCACCGTGTCAGCATTGATGTCCAGTTGCACAAGACTGCCGCATATCTCGATGACGTCTTCGGGATCGTTGAGGAATGTTTCCGGATCGAGTTCCGTATCCCCAAGCTCGATGGCAATCCCTTCAACCAGCTCACTCACACTTAAAGGACGAAGCGAGCAGGTCAGCCATCGGAGTATCCGTAATGCGAGGTCTTTGTCATCGTCCGATATCCCCCCTACAATCCTCTCGTAGGTTTCGTTGAGACCTGATGGGAGGCTTGTGAGAGCCTTCTTGATAGCCTTATCGTTCCGGAGGCCGGCGATCTGATCCAACTGACACTTTGCCCAGCGAAACCTGCACTGAGTGATAAGCAATGATTACCGCAAGTGAGCTAAGACAGGATCACGTACATGCCATCCGCCTGTGAAGAAATGGCAGCAATAACTTCCTGCTTCGTCGCTCCCTTGAGTTTTCTTCTCAACTTGTTGTTTCGCTCGCATTCGTCCATCACAAACGAGGTGATATCCTGTGAGTTGACAGACGCGTCGATGCGTAACTTGGGAACCTCAGCGAGCTCTGACTTGATGTCGACCTCGTCTCGGCTGGTGATCAGGAGACTGATACCTGCCAAGCGATTAAACTCCATCATGGTCTGCAAGATCTTCGTACGAGCAGCAGGCTCACACTCATCGAGACCATCAATAACAACACGTGTCCGGCCGAACGCCACTTTGGAGGCTGAATTCAACAAATATTCCTTGAGAAAACCTTCAAGCGGTGGACTCATATTGCTTTTCATGAAGACATCCTGAAGATCGGGTGGCATGTGATCCGGGGAATAGGTCTCGACGATCTGCGCGAGGAGTGAACCATAGATCCCCGCTGGTGTTTGCTTCTGGACGTCTCGATAATCGCAGTAGAAGTAAATGGTCCTGGTTGGGCACTTATTTCCCATCTTTTGCTCTTCCTCCAGGAGGTGATCGAGGATTATGGAGCTGTGAATGTCAGCATCACGGAGACTTATCAGCGGTGGGTTCGCAGCTCGGTACGTACGATAGTATACTCTTTCCGGTCCCAGCTACGGTTTGTCAGATAGAACTCGGTAACCAGCGGATGAGGCCAATCCTACCAGACCCATGCAACCACATCACCGGGTTTCTCTCGGTCTTCCAGAGTTCAAAGGCTTTCGAAGTAAGGAACCACAGTCCCGTTCCACGTTGCTGAAGCTCGCGCGCAGCTAGATGATTCTCTCGTGGATTCGCGGGAGAAAGCCATGCAATGACCGATCGGAAAGTTTTGCCTTTGGACAGACAGTTGTTATCAATCTGAACTTTTGGGTAGAATAAGGAGCCACCAACTCATTTGCTCTTGTTGCTTTGCGATGCGCTCAGATTCATGAGCAAGCCGCATCACTCGTACCTCTTCGATTGCCTGCTTCAATGCGATGCTGATACGAGCACAGTCAGTATTCCGCATCCCGACGGTAGAGAGTGGATAACTTGCTTGTTCTCTCGCTGCATCGCCAACGAAAAAGTATTCTTATATCTCTCCATTCGAGCAATCCAATCCCGGGTGTCCTGCTCTTTCAGCGGCCATTTCAAAGCTCTCCCCAACTTCCTTAGCCTGCTCCCGGAGGAATCCTGTTGTTTGACCAGGAAGGCATAAAGCTCTTCCAGCTTGCCGTTGCACTCTTCCAACGTGCCTATCAAGCCACCAGCGATGGTCGAAGCTTGCCTCCCGGATTGCAGCGAGGAACACAGCGCCGTGAAAACTCCGCTTAGCAACGTGATCTCGGAGACGAGCAGCTGTACCTCCTCCGGGACACTGCTGACAGCCTGCCCGTATGCAATACCGAACTGGATGATTTTGCTGGCGATCTGGCAGATGCTGAAGCCGCCGAGCGCGATGGAAAGGGGGTCCATGATCCGGGTGGTTCGATGGTTCTGGAATTCGGTTATGGACTGGCATTTTTTTGGGCTGTGCCCCAGGTCATATATCATTGCCGGCCAGTATGCCGTGTATAACAAAAGGATGAGAGGGGTATCCAGTACAAGCCAGCTGCGGGGGTATCTGGAGTGGATGTTTCACACCGGGTGGTGTGCGCCTGTAGCCGCCCACTCTAGCTGCATGTCCTCTGTGGCCTGGCGGCAGTTTGCTGCATGCGCGAACACGGACACTCATTAGCGCAATCGAGGCGACCTGGCGACGCCGCGACAGGGGCGCCACCTTATGGTCTATGATAGGCTTCCTTCCTTCCTGATTATTTTACTGCCAGCGAAGCGGACAATCACTACTGGATAAATGCCCTCCGATTGGCGGTGGACAGCATGAATTCCAGACTAAAATTACATATTTCGTGGTCATGCTGTGCTCGCAAAGCTCAACTTGCACTGCAAAAACTGGCGACGATCCCACGTAATCGCGACCGTGAGTGGATAGCTGTAATCCATCGCATGTTTCGGCGTCTGCGAGTGGCCTTGGCCTGCATACCAAGAGTGGCTAGTCCCACACCCTGAACTTTCGGGCAGACGCGAGGATCCACCCGGCCACTATGAGCGAGTCGACAGGCATAGTCATAAACTTCCATCTCACCCATCAAATTATCCACCAGCTCGACCACTATCAAGCGTTCGTTCCGAAACACAGCTAACTTGATAACTACCTATTCCTATTGGGTCTCTTCTTTGCTACCTATCGATCCAATGGCACCGCCTCAGTCATCATCACGAATAGACTTCGACAATAAAGTTTTTGATCGACAGGGCCACCCCACCCCACAAAGTGAGCTCGTACGCGTCCTCATCGAAAACCATTCCCAGAGTGTTGGCATCGACACCCATCAAAGGCGAAAAGAACCCCGCTTTCATTCTGCACGCCCCCACCCCCGGATTTGGCTAAACCATGATCGCCGAGGGAACCACCAACTATATACACCCGGGATCCCTCTACCGTCCATCGCCGCCTCCGGCGAACCCTGCGACATTCCCGGCACGCCACAGAGCTCCAGCACGTGCTTGAATAAGAACAGTCATTCGCGCCGTTGTCCGCCTCGGAGAAGCCGGCTTCCTCCTCACGTAGCCCTCCGCCATTCCCAGCGCGCAACACTCTCCTGTTAAACAAGCAGTCGATGACGAATGGGAGACGGTGCCGGTGGGATCTGGGAGGAGTATATCTTGATGATTTTCACAACTAGCTAGCTCTGAGTGTCTACAATACCCAGAAGCGGTGCTCATCCTACTGGAAAAGGGAGTGGCGGCTACACATTCGGTGTTTTGCCAGTCGAAGCGAATCGTGTTAGCTGTGTGGACTATGACCCTATGCTCGAGTCGTTAGTACGGGGGATGGAATCGAATACACCAACAAACTGCGCTGTGTCGTCGCCCCTGAACAGCAACATGATCTTCGTATGATGCGTTCCGAAAGCTTCGGGCATGTAGGCGGCGACAATCCTCGCGTTCCGAAACACCTTTACTTGCTCATCCATTATCCATCCTCTTCCTCCACAGATCGTCCGACTCCAATTCCCATGCGCGAATACCGCCTTCACGTGCCTCGCGATATCCTCATCAAATTGCCCCATGACCCACGCGATATCATGCATGTAATTGAGCCGCCATACCTCGCGTAGCATCACGTCGCCGAGTATCGGAGTATGCCATTGATGCCGACGTAGCTTGTTTTCCGAGTCGGTCGATCGCGGATACGCGTGAGACGGAAGGGCGAAGAGACTGTCTGCGTCGACGACTCGGTGGCAGCTGCCTTCGTTTCGGTAGCAACAGTAGTGGTTGAAGACTTCGGTTCGCCGCGACGGAAGCCAGCGCTCGCGTCGGGTTAAGCGACACTGAGGTCAATCACTTGCTTCGACGCAGTCGTTTCGCCGGCTAACTGTGGACGAAGAAAGTCGCGAAGTCTGTCGCTCTCGTCGTCGAACGTGGCAGGATCCGTGGGCTTGTACACGTGTAGCCGTCGCCGAGCTCGTGCGGGGTGATTTTGCGATCGTACGAAGCGAGAGAATGGAGGCTGGAAGTGCCATTGACCTTGCGGGGCTTGTTGTTGGGGGAGATGGCATCGCGGCGTAGTTTGTGGATGGGTTAACGAATGAGGGCGTGAGAGTAGTTGCGCTGTTGAGGTTGAATGGGAGCGGGTGACCGGATGAATTCTCGGAGAAGCGTGGAAGAAAAGCGATGACGTCATTCGGTACCGTCAAAATTCATCAACACGCTTCTTCGCCAACCACAGCCAAGTCATCGCGCGTTCGGTGTTGCGACTGGCCGGGCGAAAAAGCGGCCCGTCTCCTGGAGAGGGCATATCTCAGCCCTCAGAATGTCCCAACCAGCAATATGTGTCCGAATATACATAGGAAAATCGATTGCGAGGGCCGAAGAAGCTCTTCACCTACATATTCCTAAGATTGGAGTAAGTCAAGCCAAGAGCTTTAGGATTGTCCACGGCCAACCATGTGATACGTGACCATGCCCAGCTCTGCACCTGGCCAAAAGCAGTTTAGTCCGGCGGCCAGCGTACGACTTTCCCCGCTTCTCCGCTGTCATCGTATAAGAACCCCAGCATCCCATCCCGTCAAGCTTCGCGTCTCCATCTCTCCGAACCCATCCCGAAAGCAAAACCTCACGACCTCTTACAACATGCCCAGTGGTTCCCCCGAATTCCAGCAAGCTTGCGCGGACGTCAAGACGCTAGGCTCGAAGCCTAAGGACGTGGTTCAGTTGGAGGTACGGATGTTTTGCTTCGTTCTGCTCAACCGTCTCGTCTCGTTGTTAGCATGTATCACGATCTGACGCGTCCTATATTATAGCTCTACGCCTTGTTCAAGCGAGTGACCGTGGGTGATGTCACGGGGAAGGAACCGAAGCCTGGGTTCACAGACGTACGTGTTCCACCGTCGCTCCTACCACGCATCCAGCTGACATGGCACAGTTTGAAGGCAAAGCCAAGTTGGCCGCTCGCCAGAAAATCGCCGGGATGTCCGAACAGGACGCAGAGAAGGCCTACATCGATCTCGTCAAGAACCTCCTCAGCGCTTAGAGTACCGTGTTCGCGTTTGTGCCCATGAGGCGTGCGATGGGGACATGTCTGTGTTAGTTATATAGGAAATACACGCTCGTGCGCGCTAATAATATGGCTTCTGGTCCTTTCCGCAGCTATACATGCTACCTATTCCCTTGTCCGGTAAGCCTTGGAGAAGTCGTCTTACTTATCGCACGAGTGTCGTCCCCGAGTGATGGCAAGGCTATCGTCATGTGATGCCCTGTTGCTCGTGGGGTGTACCCCACCGGTTCGAAGAGGCGATGCACTGTCCGTCCGTGGCGTCGACTGTTGCTCCGGTCTGTTTCGCTCCAAAGAACTCGGCGACATCGCGATCGCCAAACATGAACAATGAGATTTTCTTGGAAGAAACGTTCCTGACTCCTGGCATGTGATGGATTCTCGCAGGTGTCATTCATGTGAAGACCGATGACTTTTTGCCAGTAAGTCAACTGCGCCCTGCGGTACGACTGCAATGACGCTCCCACTCGGTTACCAGTACCACCGTCGCGCATTTGAGAACAGCAAAGTCTTGTCACTGTCATGTACATAGAATCGTAAAGTATACATCATAACCTAATGTACTCTATATACACTGCCGGTACCTGGGTTTTCCGGTACAAGCCTGGCTATGCGTCGTGGCGCCGTCCGCAGCGCCGCCAGCTGGCAGCGCTTTACTCTAACCCTGGTGGCGTGGCACGTTTCAAACAAGTTATCGTGTGGCTATGATTGGGGCGCAGGTTTATCCGGACCCCAGGAGTTGATCATCTAGATTAGATTCGTGGCTCAGCGAGTGTCTCGGCCACTAGAAATGTCTTCAGTTTAGCTCAGCCACAATCCGATCATGATAATCAGCTTAGACCATCCGGCCCTCGGGTACTCTAGTTACTGCCTTAGCGGTGTATGCAACCGATTTCGACTGTTTCTCGACTTTACAAACAACAAATTCGACGTCATACACTGTTCTCAGGCATCGGAAGCATGGCTCAGATGCACGCAAATGTGGGGTTCTCTCCGTGCCGATATATCTTCAAGCGGTTGTGGGTCGAGCCTTTCCTGTAATGCCCCCAGGAGCGCATTTTACCCTTGTTCGTCACCCCTGGCGCAACCCGCAACCGCTCTTATAAAGCCGATAGGAAGCTGCATTTACGACCGGCAAGACGGATACGGACAGTACACGTGCTGTATACTGGGTTTGCAGTGCCACCAGGAGAGTGGGGCTGCAGCTGTTGATACACATCCGGTTTTATATTGTGGTCATCAGCCACGGGGTACATATTAGTTAGGTATTGCCGGGAGCACTGCGGCGATTCTTATATAGAGGGGTGGACCTGACGGAGGAGATTTCTCGTCACGTATTGTCGTTAACTATCGCCATGGCGGAGACCTTCTCGCTCGTAGTCAACATCATTACCCTCGTCGATGTCGCCGCACGCATCGTGGCGGCCGGAAGCGCCTACTCCTCCAGCGCGCGCGGCCACACAGCACAAGTGCGACTGCTCGTTCAAGAAATAAACACCATGAGCGGGGTATTAACCGCCGTCAGCACGACACTGCAAAATAACGACGTCTCGCCGCACTCCACGAAATTAGCAGCCCTCATCGGAGGCCCGATAGAGGAGTGTACGACTCAGCTTAACGACCTGCATCTGTTGCTCATCAAACAGGTGACGGCGAGGCTCTGGTGGAAGCGCATGGGAAAGCAGTTGAAATGGCCGTTGAAGGAGAAGGAGACTATGGGGTTGATAGAGAGGATTGGGAGGCTGCAGAGGAGTATCTCGTTGGCGCTGCACGCCGATGATCTGTAAGTGACATCCTCCCGCTAACTCCGGCGGTACGGGTCGAGCTAAAATAGCATGTCTCAGAGGTTTTCGGGGGAGTATTTCGACACATTTGGTGGAAATCAGAAAGGAAGAGGAGATCGCGAGGCAGGAGAGGAACCAAGCGAGACAGCGTATGTTTAGCCGGCTCCACGGATCTGGCGCAGTAACTGATCCCCCGACAGGACGGAAAAGAACCGAGGTCCTCGCATGGCTATATCCTCAAAGCGAACCGCAAATCCACGATTCGGCGAAACGGCGGCATCTGCCTGGATCCGGAAAATGGTTCTTCGAGAGCGCCGCCTTTGCTACATGGAAATTAAGTCCACGATCCTTCCTGTGGCTCCACGGACATCGTAAGTTGACTTTCCACAGCCGACCCAACCATCTTGCTGACCTACCTCCGAAGCGGGCGCTGGAAAAACAATCCTCACCTCCATAGTAATCGATAACCTAACCCCCAACCTCCAACCGAACCAGCAACTAGCATACTTCTACTGCTCGCCCACCTCGGAGCCAGTCCATCTCTACGGCTCGCTGATCGCCCAGCTCCTCAGCTGCACGGACTCCCTCCCAACAACCATCGTGGAACATTACGACCGTAACTGGAACCACCGTCCCTGCGCCGACGACCTGAAAGACATGCTCCTGCGTCTCCTCGCCGAAGCCGGAACACAAGGGAAGGAGACAACACTAATAATCGACGGCCTCGACGTTTTTTCCCCACACCAGGACCTTCTATCGACGCTCTCGGACATTCCCGCCTCCTCTCCCACCTCCAACTGCCGCATTCTCGTTACCAGCCGCATCGAGGAAGAAATCGAGTACGCCTTCGAGACGCATACCCGAGTCGCCATCCAGCCACACATGGTCAACGACGAAGTCGGCGCCTTCGTCAAGAGCGAGGTCGAGCGCCGACCGACGCTGAAGCGGCTCAACGCCAGCCTGAAGCAGGAGGTGATCGCGGCGGTCTCCCGCGGCAACTTCGGCTGGGGATGGGCAGTCGAGAGCATAGATATGGTCGCCCGTATGAGAACGGATGGCGATGTGAAGAAGGCTATCAAGGACATTACTAGTCGGACGGGGTATAGGGATAATAGGGGGAATGGAGGCGGGAATGAACCGATTGGGGAGATACCGGCTATGGCGTAATTGGAGGATTGGATTATAGGCTTTGCATTGCTGGATTTGGGGAACCGGGGCGTTAAATATTTACATTCATGATATATATACCTATGTTTTTGTTTTTCTGAGGGTATCAGCCAGTGGAAATCTCTGCCAGTGTCTTACATCGGTAGTCCCGTCGTCCGTGTTTCACCACCAGACAGGACTGGACGGACTACTTCCAAGCAGTCCGCCGAAAACACTGGACTACACTCCGAACCGGACTATGTACTACACTTCCGTAGCCAGTGCTGCGCATGTTCTTGGACACACTGGTGGTGTTCCACCCTGTAGGATCTAGGGCGCCTCCCTGCTGTCCACCTGACCTCGATCCCATCGCCTGCTTCCCGGGGCCTCCCTTCGCCTCGTCCGTCCGTGTAACCGTGTTCCCACTTCCGTTGCGCGCAGAGCGATTTATAGGCCCTTGGTGTTCTTGCGCGGAGGCGTGCAGGAATGGTGGCGAAGAGGTCCGCCCCGCTATTCCTATGTAATACGCCGTGCCTCGTACTCCGGTATGTACATATTCCCCCAAACAACAACCTTGGGTTTCTCCACGGCTTCCTACAGATCATTACAAGGGTATTCGGACAGGCTGACTTTGTGGTTCCCCCCCGGCGGCGGGCTGAGGCATGGCTGATGAGAGTCCCGACTCCCCAGCACCGTGGTCAGCTCGCAACCACTAATAACCAAAACTGAGGATTGTCGCTGGTTATCCTGCTTAACAGAAAGAGTAACTGCTTGAGGTAAGAGGAGGAGTGACGGTCAGTGGTGGTGGCGGGTGGTGATAATTGAGAATTCATGCAGTTCCGATTTTTCATCAGGCTGAACCCCATGCAACGATCTACCGGTACCTAACAATTTTCGAATAGATACCTAGGGTTTCTGCTCATTCTTCCTAATCGCACCGCCAACACCATGTTGCCTATCCTTTTTCTTGGGCAAGATACCAGTACTGTAATGCGGAGTGGTGACTCAGATTAGACCTGATGCGGTCGGTCAACGTTGAACTGTTTTTCTATTGTTTCTATTCGTTCTATCTGTCTGTCTTGCTTCCTTCTTTTCATCATCATCATCATCATCAATGAGTACCCACACAATTGATCAACCTTTGTGTCTCATCCCGCAGACCAAAGTCCAAAGAAGCGCCGGAGCTATCCTTCAATCATAAGTAGTACGGAGGTGCTAATCGAACGACATGGTACACTTACGTGGATACAAATCCACGACCAACGACGCCAGCCAACCCACCACCACTGAAACGCCAGCAGCCCACCAGGGGCTGCAGGCTGCAGCTGCCGACCCACAACCTGAATCAGGCGTGGTTTCCGTCCTACCGAAGCGACATCCGCCAATCCAAAGGCGAGGCACATCTATTTTTGCTACCTGCCCGGCGCCTCGTCGTGAGCCATCTCGCTGACTGGCCAATGCCCGCATGCGCATACCACCATATAGGCCGATATGCAGGCGGCAATGCGCGTGCCCTCCCTCCCTCCCTACCAGCACCTCGCGCATGTAGTGCGACGCAAAGCGGTGCCGCGTGCGCGCAGACGAGCGGGCTTTTCCTTCGCTGCTTCAATTAAATTGCGCGCACAGAAACGCCGATATAAAGCAGGATGCCCGCGCACTGCCGTGGAAGCGTCGGCACAAATATCACCGAAATCGCCACCTCCACCGCGTCTGTCGTCGTCGTCGCTGTGCGAAACCATCATGGACCCGCTCTCCCTCGCCGTCTCGGCCATCACCGTCGTCCAGGTCGCCGCAAAGGTCATCTCGTTCGCCGTCGCGTACGGAAAGAGTGTCAGCGCCCTGCCGGAGGAGGTCCAGTCGCTCGTGTCCGAAATCGGGCTGGTCTCGAAGGTCTTGACGAATCTGCACGATACGCTGAAGGGCATTGCGGCGGACGAGAAGACGGGACTGGTGGTCTCCAAGACTGATTTCCTCAAGCCGCATATGGATGAGTGTCAGGAACAGCTGCTGGTGCTCGCATCGTTTTTGGAGAAGGGCCGCAGCAAGAAGGCTCGCCTGAAGAATTTTGGGAAGAGGTTGAAGTGGCCGATGCAGGTGGCGGAGACGCAGGAGTGGATTGTGAGAATGGAGAGGTTTAAGGGGAGTTTCTTGTTGGTTTTGGAGACGGAGAAGCTCGTCGTGAACAAGAAGATGTGCAGTGAGGTGGTGGATATTAAGGTCGCTCAGGAGCGTGAGAGGGCCGAGAGACGGAGGGAGAAACAAAGTAAGACTACTCATTTTGAATGCTTGATGCGACAATTTAATCCTAATACGCATCAAGTCCAGAACTATCGAGATGCCGTCGCATGGCTCTCGGCGGTGGATCCGAGAGAGAACCACGACGCCGCAAAGAAACTTCAGCAGAAAGGCACAGGGAAATGGCTTATAGAGTCCGCCTCGTTCTTCGAATGGAAGTCGGCCGACAGATCATTCATGTGGCTGAGTGGCGGTGGTATGTTGCCCTTCCGAATCGGCCTGTTCCTCAAGCTAACATAACTGCAGCGGGCACCGGCAAGACGATCTTGTCATCACTGATCATCGATGCCCTGATAGCCGAAGGGATCCATAAACCAATATATTTCTATTGCGATTTCAAGGACATCGAGAAAATGACCAGAGCCGGAATCTACGCATCTCTGACGGCACAGATCCTGGCGCAGAAGTGGACGGAGCTACCAGCCCACTTCGCCGAGTACTACGAGAACAACAAATCGAAGCCGTTCCACGACTGGAGTCTTCGGGAACAACTACTAATCTTGATCGGGATGATGGGACGGGGGAGGATTGTGGTGGACGCTCTCGACGAATGTGCGGTGGATGTGCGCAGGGACGTGTTGATGACACTGGGGGAAATTTACCAGAAGGGCCAGATCAACGTGCTCGTCACCAGTCGCGACGAAATCGACATCAAGCTTGGCGTCGAGATCATCGGGGGATCAAAGACGTGTATCAAGGTCAAAGCTTCGGCGACGCAGAGCGATCTGGCACTATTCGTCAACGGGGAAATCGAGAGGAATGGCACGAAGCTCGCGCGGCTCAAGGAATCGACGAAGCGAGAGATCGAGGCGACGCTCACCGGTCAGGCCGACGGGATGTTTCGGTGGGCGAAATGCTCCCTGGACTACATTTCGCGAATGCGGAACGATAAGTCCATCAAGCAGGCGTTGAATTCGCTACCGCCGGGGCTGAACGAGACGTACGACCGAATTTTGGCACGGATTTTGGACACGGACCGGGCGATAGCGATGCGAATCTTTAATTGGTTGACCTGCTCCCAACGACCATTGCTCGTCGCAGAGGTGGTGGAAGCAATCAGCATCGAGCTCGGTAGCAGAAGTCTAGATCGAGACACCCTCCTGAACGACCCCGAAGACTTGCTCGATGTTTGCGGCAGCCTGTTAGAGATCGACCATGATGCTGGGACCGTGGTCCTGGGTCACTTCTCGGTGAAAGAATATCTCACGTCTCTCGGATTACGCAATGGCAAATACTCGGAGTACTTTGTCGATGTCAGGCTCACAAACTTTTGTCTGGCGAAGCTGTGCGTAACCTACCTATGCTTTGAGGATTTCGCCTCTGGGCCCTGCGAGAAGACAGCCCAGTACGAGGAGCGCTGCCAAAGTCATTCCCTGTACCAATACGCGGCTCATTACTGGCCGGAGCATGCTAAGGAGCACGGTGATATCGACGACGAACCGTTCTTATCAATCATGGAACACTTTTTCCTGGGGCCGGGGATGGATGGGAATTTCGAGGCGTGGATGCAAGCGCATCATACCAGTTACCGTGAGCACACTCAGTACCTCACCAGTGACCGAGGTCCGGGCAATCGACTAGTGTATGCGGCACGCTTCGGTTTATATTCGACTGTCCTGATGATGCTCTCAAAAGGCCATGATCCGAATACAATCTGCGAGTACAAAGGTCGGAAGGAACGTGTCACCAGAGTCCGTGAAGGCCACTGCGGCACACCTTTAATTGCCGCGGTAGAGTCGGGGAATATTAAAGTAGTCGAGCTACTGTTATCGAGAGGCGCGGATGTCAACACGGTAGCCGGGAATCCCGGCTCAGCCATCAACATGGCCATCCGACATGGCCGACGGGATGACTATGCCTTGATGCGATATCTTCTGCAACACGGAGCAGACGTCAACCACAAGGCACCAAATGTGAAGACGCCGCTCAGCAGGGCCATCGAAACACCCTCGCTCGAAGCTACGAAGATCTGCCTCGAGGCTGGGGCGGATGTGAGCGTGCGCTCCAATGATACCGATGATCATTGCATGCTGGATCTTGCATGCTTCTACGGCGGTCCCCAGATCTTCGATTTGCTATGGGAACATGGTGCCGGAGAGTATTCTAGCCCTCCTACCGAAACCAAGCCCACACCCGGGATAGACGGTTGGTCCCTTTTTTACGCCTGCTGGCCGAATTTCTTCGAAACCGCACAAAAGATATTGGAAAAGAACGGAGACAAGCTGTTTAAGGACCCAACTTGGATGGAACCATTGCTGTTTGTGATTCGCTCATCTGCCGCCTATGGGTATTACAAGTTCTTGGAACAGTTGATGGCATATGCCGGCACGTCTTCAGATTCGTACACGATAGCCCTTCAAGAGGCAGCAAGAAATGGGCGCGAAAAAACGGTCGGCATGTTGCTCGATATCGGCACCAGCGAGAGCAATCGCGGCTGTCCTTTGGTTCTAGCCGCAGCAATCGGCAACCGCAAGACAGTCGGGCGGTTACTCGAGGCTGGAGAAGACCCTCTGGCGCTAAACGAACACGGGTGGTCAGCACTACTCGCTGCAACAATACACAAACAGCCCGAGATCGTCGAGTTGTTCAACAGCACCGGCAAGTACCTCGCAAGCGGGGAATCTTCAGCTCTACCGCCGACTTCATGGCAGATATCTACCAAAATGCTTGAATTTATCGAAGTACCCTATCCGAAAGTTGAATTCGAGGGCTGGGAGGCCCACTCACTACCTGGTTCGTTGCTCTCCCCACCCCGAACTAGGTGTAGCTGATTACTGACACGACGGTTTAGAAAACACGCACAAGTACGTGATCTACACCGACCACCCTCTTGCTCCCCGGACTGGCTATTGCTACTATGAGATTACAATTTTGGAGGCTGGCACAGATTTCTAGTAAAAATCTCTTCCCTGAATGCTGTATCCTCATTGCTTACATACCTGTCTCACAGTTTTCAAATCGGCCTCTTCAGCAACCTCGCCCATTACGAAATCCATGACCCAAGCGTGGAATCGCACATGCCACTCCGCTCTCCTTCCCGCGCACTGAGCTATAGCCATGAAGGCGAAATAAAGGCAAGGGATACCAGCAGTTCCGATAACCCCACGCTCTCGGCCGGCAGCGTCATCGGGTGTGCCGTGAACCTAGAGCTAGGACTCGCATACTTCACTTGCGACGGAAAGCTGGTGGATGTTCCCTGCGGCAATGTCATAGGAATGGTTCATCCCGCCATTTACATCAGCCCCGGGACAAAAATCAAGGCAAACTTTGGCGAAGAGAAGTTTCGGTTCGATACGAGTGTTTTGGAGACGCTGGACTACGGAGTTGAGCCGAAGGTGCGGTTTGAGATTGATGAGGACCCAGTGGAGCTTATGTACGACTTTAGGAGGCCGGTGAAGATGTACATTGGATGAATGGATGCGGATTTAGACCTTTTTTAGGCGGTGGATTTGGCGTTTGTATATTTGATGTTATGATACCTGTTGGGCTTTCGACGCGATTTGGATGGGAGGGGAGGGTGAGGGGGCACACTGACACGCCCGAGTTTGGACTTTGTATAATAATGAGGGATAGGTCTTTTAAATAGAGAACGTGTATGCACAATACACACATGCTTAGTGTTGACTCGTGGGAAGACCGGAGTGATGAAGACCTGAGAGGCCTGCATCCATTTCGCACCGACTGATAACAGCGCGTAAGAAGATAAGATCGATCCGATATGATTGACGCTCAGACGAGGCTGTGGCCGACACACGGATGGGGTTAGGCAAGAGTCATTGGCCTTAGGTCAGCATGTGCTCGCGATTCGCGAAGGGAGGATTTGGGTAGCTCGCTCCTGGTTGAAAATTGATCCTGAAGTCTTTCCGCTGAACAAGCATCCCTACCGGTATTAGCGCCGTGAAGACCCCGCACCCTGCAGGCCAAATTGTTTTTGTCTCCATTCTCTTTCCGGCGCTTTCAATGATGGTTTGGCCGCAGTCGTCGAGCTGCTGCAAGCTGCAAGCTGCGGTGATGGGCGTCGCTCGCAGCGCGTTCGCTACCCGACGTCATCGCATCGCTCGCGACTTCTCGACGCGACATTCGACCCTCGCTAGTCCCATTCACTGCGATCACCGTCACCCCCACTCAACACCATTGCAGACCCCACCACCGGCTCCACGTCCTATTCGCTTTTTTACCCACCACGCCGCAATGTCGTCTCCCTCCCGATCCAAGCGTCGCAAGGTCGACGGCACTCCCAACCCAAGCTCCCTCGCTTCGTTCGACCGCACAATCTCCCCACCCCCGCTCGACGACGATTACAACCCCACCGATCCGGCCACATTTGACGACAAGAACGACAAGCTTCGCGACTTCCTTCGTCCGCAGCCGGGTGGTGAGAAGAGTGCGCCGAAAGAAGTCATCGATCTCACTGTCGACGAGCCCGACGCGAGGGACGCAAATGGCGCTGGCTTCCGTCACGGCGTACCGGAGTCATCATCTGCTACCGTCACTGCCAACAACAGAGCCGCAGTCACCGCCGAGTCGTCGACGCAGACCGTCTCTTCACCCTTCCGTCTCACGCGTATCCGCGGTCTACCCAACTCGGAGAACAAAAACACGGTCGGCATCGATGACATCCTCGGCGACGTGATGCTGCGCGAAGTGTGGTTGTTCAACTATATGCACGACATCGAGTGGATGATGGAGCAGTTGGACGAGGATATTGTCGGACACGTCAAGGTGGTGTTCGTCCATGGGAACTGGAAGCTGGATGACCCGGGGAGGCACAGGATGGAGGAGCAGGTGAAGGCATTCCCGAACGCCAGACTCGTCGCTGCGTACATGCCGGAGCCTTTCGGAACGCATCACTCCAAGATCATGGTGCTGTTCAGAGGCGATGACACTGCGCAGTATGTCTCCCTTGCAAGCAGCCCCCGTGAACCCGCGTACTAACTGCACAGAGTCATCGTTTACACTGCCAACATGATATCCTTCGACTGGGAGAACATGACACAGGCCGCTTGGATATCACCTCTGCTACCCCTCGGAGAATCCAAACCGCCCTCGCCGATCGGCGATGCCTTCAAGACCGACGCTCTCGACTACTTCTCTGCGTATGGCAAAGCGCGTACCGGAGTATTAGTTGAACAACTCAAGAAATACTCCTTCTCCGCCGTCAAAGCCATCTTCGTCGGTTCGGTACCTGGTCGTCACAAGACATACGAGGCCAAATGGGGCTGGCCGAAGCTGCGCAAGGTCCTCTCCACCATCCCGAGCACCTCCGACGCCGACAAAACGTCCACGATCTTTGCGCAATGCTCCTCGATAGCCACGCTCGGCGTGAAGGACACCTGGCTCACTCCCGTCCTCTTCAAAGCCATGTCTGCGTCTGCCAACGTGGACACTCACCAACCGGATTACGGAATAATCTTCCCGACGGCGCAAGAAATCCGGGACTCGCTGAACGGCTACGGCTCCGGCAGCTCTATCCACCTGCGGCTCGGCTCTCCCGCGCAGGCAAAGCAGCTATCCTACCTCACCCCGCTACTGCACCACTGGTCCTCCCCGCCACTGCCGGGAACATCCGCCTCCCCCTCCACCCTGGCGGGACGCGACCTTGCGGCTCCGCACATAAAAACGTACATACGCTATGCCAACACCCCCCAGCCCGCGACAACGATCGACTGGGCCCTCCTCTCCTCCGCAAACCTGTCGACGCAGGCTTGGGGCGCCGCGGAGAAAGACGGCATGGTCCGTATTTGTAGTTACGAGGCTGGCGTGCTAGTGCACCCTGGCCTCTGGGGAGAGGGGTTTACGATGGTGCCTGCTTTTAGAGAGGATACGGTTAAGCGTGTGGGATGGAAGGGCAAGGTCGTCGCCCTCAGGATGCCGTATGGTCTGCCCGTGCAGAAGTATACCGAGAAGGATCAGCCGTGGTCGCCTGGCTTGCCGTATAAAGAGCCGGATTGGATGGGCAGGAGGTGGGGCGGCGAGTGGGGCGGTGAGTGAGAGGGGTGATTGTGGATTTGTGAAATTTGTGATGTGCCGATGGGATGTGCCGATGCGATGTTGCACGGCGTGTGGACAAGCCAGCGAGTGATAAGGTGGAGATGTGTTTTTTTTTTTTCTTTTCCGGAATAGTGCGGGGTATGTGCTTCTTTCGCCTGGTAATGTCTGGGCTGTAGTGGTTATTGTGGGGATGTGGGATGTGGGATGTGGGATGTGGGATGTGCCGGCCCTCTCTGCCGTGAAGTTCACCGCGAGGCAGCTTGCTTCCTTGGGAACATACTGTACAGTTCTCTGCACAGATCCACTAGACTCCAGTTCATACTTACGCGCTATCATCCCCAAAACCAATGTAGTGCAGACCATGATCGATTGAAAAGCCGCCTCCTACCACTCACGGGTCCCCATGAGCAGACTGCAGTTGCTGCAGGAGCAGGTTACCGGTACCGTGGATAGTGAAGACGACGTCCCGACCACCGCGCCAAGGCCGGAGGCCGAAGCACACCCGCACATGGCCGAGTCCTGATTACCGACCAGGAGTGAATCTCAACCGTAGCGGTAGTGTCTTGCAGTACCGGTAATGCCGAGAACCCATGGTACAATCACGTGAACGGTGCGACCGATGAGACCGGCCATGCTGAGAATTTGAGATGAAACAGTTGCGGCCGTGAAGGTGAAAGAAAGATTAACGGATACCGTACTTTAGGTAATCTGTATGTAGGAGAGCAGGAGAGCAGGAGAGCAGTCAGGGCAGGAGAACAGTGAGGGCAGGAGAACAGCGATGCGCATGCTTTCTCACTCGGAATTTCTTATTTTATCTACGTAGAAAGGTGTTCTGCCGCCGACTGCGGGACTCCACCAGATGGCCTACGAGTCTACGACGCGGAGTACGCAGCCATCTCATTGCTTCGGGTTTGGCTTGCACTTGCAGAAGGAAGGGGTCTGGGAATCTGGGAATCTGGGAATCTTAGGAACGAGAAGAGTGCTTAGAGTGGAAGTGGAAGTTGGTGGTTGGTTGGCGATTGGGTTAAGCACCGCTGCCACTACTAAGCAGCCTGCAGGGTGGTTGCGAAGATTAGGCTCTGCGCAGGTTATCAATTCTTCCAGGACTCTGAGGACACTGTGGATGGGGATGTATTATTCTCGACGGGCCGGACGTCGTCGCTACGAAAGTCTGTAAGAGGTGAAGCATATATCCCTTACATGTCCGGCGGTAATATATTTGTTCGACCTCACTAGCTTGGCCCGTTTTGGACTGGCGCACGAAGGTTGGCAATGAGTGATATCAAAAGAATTCGGCAAGTGGGCTCTTCCGCAAAGCCACATGTGTAAATTAGTGCAAACAGGCTCTCCAAAATTATGTATCTAGCCGCGTATATTCCCACTTCTCTTCTCCCGAAGCTTCTCTTAACATTTGAGCGTGTATGCATACCTAGTATCTGATAGAGTCCGCCGCCGCCCTCGGTGTAGCAGTAATCGCCGGTGGCCAGTTTGGAACATGGCTGCCTTTTTGTAACTCGAGTCCCGGCCCGATAGCCTCTGTATCAGCGCTGTTGCTCAGTTCTCCGATATTGGAACCGCGGTTGTTTGAAGTACCGTGGGTTAGAGGTGGGGACGGGGTAGTGTTCTACATAGACCAGACCGGTCGGCCAACCGGACGGGTCGGTCGGGATATATCTCGACCTGACCATGGCTTTGGCCGGTCGGGATGTAACCCGAACGACCAGACCTTGCCAGGCTCGGTCGGCCCAGGTCGGCCGACGTCGGGTTAACTGCTAATCCTATCAGCCGCAAAAAAATCCTTAGTTTCTAGCGGTTTTTAGAGCATTTCCGGCTTCAAATGTTGTTTCTTAGCCGGACCTATCCCGACCCGACCTGAAAATTTGTGCTCGGGATATAACCCGACCGACCAGACCAAATTTTTTTTTAGTCGGGATATATCCCTACCGACCAGACGAGAGTTTTTTTTAGTCAGGATATATCCTGACCGACCCGACCATACCCAAATTTGGTCGGGACTGGTCTATGTAGAACAACTGCTCTAGTCTCCCGCTCAACGCCGTTCAACCTCATCTACCCACTAGCGCTTCTACCCCTTCTACCGTTATCCTGCTTCTTCTTCCTTTCCCATCATCGATCCTCTCGTACCGACCTCACCATCGATATTTCGACACCATCGATATTACGACACCACCAAACCGCTTCTACCCCTTCTGTCACTTCTGTTTCCGGAACGTACTTATCCGCTGGCTCATAAGACGGTGCAGATACTGCCACATACCGTCGTCGCGGCCCGCGGCGATGGACCAGCGCATCCGCTGCTGCCGCCCCGGCGACAAGAAGCTGCACGAGCTGTACGCCATCATCGACATCCGCTCGGCCGAGGAGATTTGGGGGGTGCGAGACAGCGAGCTGCTCTCGAATCTTCCTCACAGCCCTCACGGCGACATGAGGAGATCCCTAGTGTGCGCCTACGTCGAGCAGAAGTTCGGGTTCGACGCCGATCTCATCCGTGCGGCCAGAAGGCCGGATATACTGGCGAGGGTCGCCATGGAGGCGAACAATTCGGCGCAGAGCCGCGAGTAGACGGCCAGGACGTTCTGGGTCGACATGTGCCAGGACTGGAATGTGGTGTACTCTCAAATGAGGTTGGTGCTTCAGCGGCCCACCGACGCGGAGCTGGAACTGACCGAGGCGAGGTGCTGGAAGGCCTTTCATGCCGAGGTGGAGAGGAGGAAGTGGCGCAGAATGAAGCGCGAGAATCGAGCCGCCATGGCCTCATACTGTGGATCGAGGAGGACGCGGAGATGAGGAGTAATTGGTAAAATGAGGTCGCGGGTAATAATCCCGCTGTCATGCTTGGCAGGGTCAAGCATGAAGACGAGGTCCGGAGGTTGACGGACAAGTACGAGGAACGCCAGGTACACAAGAGTGTTTGATATTCTCAGGGTTTTTTTTCGCGGGTTTTAATCCGTTGGGAGTGCTGATGTCTTTGCGGTTTTGTGGCCTGACATTATTTTTTTTGCTTTGTAATCTATGTCTTTTTACTTGTTTACTTAAACCCGTTGTTTTTGTTTAATGGCGGGCGGGCGTGTCGGCTGGTTCTTCTGGTATCTCATATTCAGGCCTGGAAGTCGTCCGTCCCGTCCGTCCTAGTATATGCCCGGACGAAACAGAATTTGTCGGGCCCGGAATACCAAGGACTATAGGGCTCCTGGCAAGCCGGAGGACGATTGGGGCCCATTTGGGCCTGGAAATTTTGGCGGTAGTACTAGCCTGCGGCAGTGGCGCAGTGGCGCAGTGGTGCAGCAGGCAGGAATGACGCAAAGGAGTTGGCAGCACGGCGAGAATTAAGGAGTTGGCAGCCCGGCGAGGAATAGAGGACTATATAGGAAGTAGACGGCCAAGGAGACACCTCTGCCGGCAGATCTTACACTATATGCATGTCCGTTGCTCGCTGCTCAATCCCGTGTCCGATCGGATCCAAAATTTTCACTGGCCAAAATTTTCCGGATAGCTGGCACCGTACACTTAGGCTCCGTTCATCTCACCATTATCTCATTATGTGGATGTGCCAAGCACGTAGCGCGACATAATGCTTTTAGCATTATGTCGCTTTATGTCGTTTCAGCGCCCAGACTTCTGGAGCACCGCCACATCTACTGAGGTGAACTATTATGTAATAGGTCCTGGAGCCTCAAATGCGATGGAAAAATGAAATGGATTACGCGTTTCCACTGGGAATCTCGCGGATTTACTCAGTCATTTCTGTTCGGTGACTGGAGTCATTCCTGTTCATTGACTACAGCCACTCCTCCCATTACTAGAGTCATTCTTTCGATGACTCTGACTGTATGAGTTGATTGACTCTGGCAATGCTTCCCGGATGACGCGTGTAATAAAAACCATTGCTTCCATAGTCTTCAGCTTCCAGAAGTTGCAAAATCTTCCGAAGAATCAAGTTTCCTGCCGAGACAGGAGTTTTTGCTGCTCTAGTTGTTGAAATATATGTACTCTCGTTGATTTTCGCGTCATGGTGGTGGTGATGGTAGTGGTTGAAGTTGTCGATGGAGACTCCCCCCCCCTTTTTTTTTGTGTGTGTGTGTATGTGGCGCAGCCCTACTTGACGCAATAGCGAGATAATGGGTTGAGATGAACACTTGTTACCTCAAATTTTTAGTGAAATAATGGTTGTCAACTTTGTGTGGTAGCAGGATGAGATAATGGTGAGATGAACGGAGCCTCAGTAGCAGCCGCTTCCGCACTAAGAATTTGCGGGCCCCATGGGGCCCCACTCGGTCCCCTGGCTTTTTGAACCTAGGACAGACCCGAGTCGTGCGGCCAAATTCTCGTCCCAGACGAGACAGCGCCGCTGGGCCCCAATAGTCTTCCGTCCTAACGGACTATTCCCAAGCCTGGAGATAAGTAACGAGAAGAGAAGAGTGGATGCGGGAGTTGGCCGTTAGTAATAGTGGTAAGCGCTGCTGTCCCTCCTACATTCACAGCAGCCTGCAGGGTGGTTGTGTATCTTAAGGTCTGCGCAACTTATCACTTCTTCCGGGACACTGGGGATACTGTCAATGGGGACCGTGCCGTAGATATGGTGGGAAGAGACTGTGGAAGGTGAAAGGGCTTAGGAAGCGAGCGGCATGTATGGATGGATCTATTACTGGTGTAAAGATACGTTGGTGGGTATCACTGTAATTGTCACTCGTCAGGTTCGCCACGCATTATCAGATTGGTCACCATCTATCGCTCGCAGAGCGGGTGATAAGTCATGCGTCACCCCCGGAAATACTGGGAGAAACTAAAATGGCTCAAAGAGATAGGGAGTAATATCTGCCGCTCAACGGGAGCCAGACTCTGTTAGTGGGATACCTACACCTACCTATATAGATTACCTAGTACGAAGCCTCGAAGTCAAACAGTCCGGCACATTCTGACCAGGCAGCAGGCCAAACTGCCTCCTCATCTGCGAACCTGGGATACACAACCGATATACCGAACTATCGAGCTCGACCTCGAGCCTGTCCTCTCCCCCTATTCATACATAGCACCGACTGCTCTCCTCTAGAGTCCAGAGTCTAGGGTGCCCGCCTCGGAGACTCGTCACTCGGAGGTAAGGTTTGCGCTCGACAGTGGAGATACAAACTGTAATCTGTGAATATAGGTAGGTATTTGCTGTTGGCAATCTCTTACTTACACCGGTGTATTGATGAATTAGGA